AGAGAGAGAGAGAGAGAGAATACATTAAAATCCATGTAGGAAGCACGCATAGCAAGCCATTGCGCATCCATCATTGCAAATGCTATACAGTATAGTACATCAAAGGCATCTTCATCGGCTGCAGTTCAGAAAAATGCCAGTCATCACAGGCATAAAAACATAACATTATTAAACAACCTTAGTCAAATGTCTGACTGGTATTATGGAATTGCATACACTACCTGACAGAATTTTCAAGAAGTTTATTCCTGGGAGAGATTTTGGCTTTGCTGTAGAAAGAATGCCAGTTTTATCATCAGAATGCACGAAAACTAGTGAGAATCAAAGAACATTTCTATCATGAGAATTTAGGAGAAGCTGAGTACGGGAAGAGACATTTTGAGCTGATACATGATGTGCAAAATACATGATTATAGAATTTATAATCAAATTTGACATAAAAATCCGAACCAGTGGGAAAGTAGGCATAAAAAAAATTAACATTCTGAAAAGAAGTATAGAAAAAGTAGAGGTACATCACATGAATTATCATTCACATTTCAAATAAATATTGTCCATATTCCTTTAACGTCAAAAACCCAAGAATGAGAACAAAAGACATGCTGATAAAATTAAGAATTAGTGTGTGTGAGTTGCGTGTGTGTTATGTGCATTTGTGTGTGCCAGCGTGTTGTTTCGCTCAGGAGTTTTCCCTTGTGAGGTATATGAACAGAAAAATTTGTAGAGACCCACCGGGTTTTGGATTTCATTGAGTGCTATCAGAGGTGACTTTCCTATGAATCATGCATGTAGGCACACACAAGAGGCAGCCAACTAATCCCCTATATCTAGTGGAGCCCGTAAATTTTTTTAGGCTAAATCTCTCCACAATGTGATCTTTGGGTTTCACTTAGGATGGTCAATTTTTATATGATATAGTTCTCATCTTTAGAACTCTAAATACCTCAATCTTATTTTAGCCTAAGAGTCGGATGTAATTTTCCACGGATACGTAGAAATTTTGAACACATATGGCATGTTACAACTCTTAAGCATGGATGGCATGCGACATGTTTGGAGCCTTATGGCATCCCATGTGGGTCTTGTATCTAGCCCATTACATACATATGCCATGCATTCCGTAATTTCTTTGTTTTTTTTTTTTTGAGTATCTGCATTCCGTAATTTCTTGTTACGAGATAGTTTCCCATCACAAGAAATTCATATTTTCACGAGTCATGGACATTCCTATTTTTCATTGAAATTATTAAAATTTGTTCAATAAGAAAGTATTCAGATTTGAAAGAAAAAAAAGTGTGTAACCCTAAACCAAAGCCCTGCTCATTGTTTAAGTCAAAAGTTCTTTGACAGCCAAATTATTTTAAGACAAGGAACTATCTCAATAAATCATGTATAAGTTGTTGGAAAGTGGTTAGTCATTCATCTCTTTTATCATGGATTCGTAAGGTAGGTATTCTCCATCGCTAACTCGCTCCCTTTATGGATGGAATACTGTATCTGATCTCCCTTCTTAAATGCATAAAAGAAAAGAACTAGCCTGCTTTGAAGAATCCCCTCGACCAGACTACTCGTAATTCAAAAGCATACTTTCCTGCAGGTGTCCCTCGCTTCTTCTTTCTCCCGGATAATAACCACTAGCTTACAGCTGGCATTCAGTGCTTCTAGTAGGCTCCCTCCCTGTAATCAGGCACTGTACTTTTGTTTATATTACTCAAGAAGAAGTAGAAAGAAAGAGCTGGAAGTCAGATAGTAGGCTTGCTTGTTTCCTTGAATGAGCTTCCTTTCCTGTCTTATCACTTGCTTCTTATAGTAGTCTCCTTTCTTCCAAGAGAATCACTCCCTTTTCTATCACTCAAATGAATGACGATAAAAAGAGCGAGATCATTTCTGAGATCAATCAATATCTAAAATCATTGTGTGAAAGGAATACCTAAAATTATCTCCGTAGACATGTACATTCTATTGGTTGCAATGCTAGAGTGATTGCCTCAAGATAAATAACAAATGAACAAAAAGAAAAGTGTTCTTTAACATTAATAACTGCTGACATTCTTTGAAGACAATTCTACTAACCCGTGTTATTTCTTCATGTCGATTTATATTGTTAATGCATATGGTGGTAACGACTTCATCTCACATCACCACATTGTATATTCTTTTCTCACACAGAGATATTTTCATCCTTAAACTCTTTAAACTGTTGTGTAAATAGTGGCACCTTGTAGTCTTAAATCAATTACAGTCTCTCTCTATCTCTCTGAACATAAAATAGCAGTAGCAGCACCTCAATTAATTTGAACAGTCCTTGGCTAAGCAATGTACAAACCGATTACAATGTCATTTGGGACAAAATATATGACTGGATTAGCAAAGTTCTAAGTTTATATCAATTTATTTATTGCCTAAGCATGAACAAAATTTATGTCCATTTTATTAAAGAACACTCACTGTAATACCAACCTGAGTACAAGTCCAACATCTGTATTAGCATGAATGTAACGTTAATGCCAGCAACAGCAAATGGATATTCCCATGTGGCTCGCTTCCCATCTAGCTTAAACAATAGCCTTCGAAAAGAAGTCTTCATTCGATGTGTAGAAGAACCAACAATCAGATAAGAATTTTAATCCTACTATGCTTTGACTCAAAGAAAAAATACAATATGATTTCACAAAATGACATTCTTTTGAAACTAAAAAGGTTGGCAATAGTTTGGGCAGCATACCGGATAATATTGAGCAAAAAATAAAAGATTCTCAAGGGAAATAACTCCGCAACCCCTGAAGAAAAAACTTTAAATATGTTAAGATATAACGACCTTCACAGGATGAAATTTAGAAAGAAACATCTTACAGAATGTTTTGTCATAATAAATCAAGTTTCTAAGTCTACAACTGAAGACAGTGACCCATGTACCCCTATTTGAGAAACCTGTTGTCAAGGCACCAACACACAGTCTGGACACTTCTGCTGTGTTAGGGAATAAGTTTCAGTGTTGGACACTAGTACGAGAAGTGTTGATGTATCCAACACAGTGAAACACATACATATGATCCACATCAGTAATTACATAGATTTGATGCTTATAAAATACAAAATAAATTTTGTACAGGCATCTTTGCTAGGACAATTAAACCTATAAAATGTAAACAATATCTTAAGAAGGCAACATAAAGTAAATGATCAGCCCAAGTACAAATTCCAATAGGAAAAACAACCATTACACAGGCATCTACATATATCATTTCAATAAAATTCTCTATTTAAATATATTTTCATTTACTATAATCACCTAAAATCTGTTGATGGATTGGCACCTTGCCACCCCATATCTTTCCATTGCTCCGAGATAAGTCCTCGGAGTTCAATATCTGGAAAGGCTGCACACCACAATGCTTTAAGAGCTTCCTGCCATCGAGAGAGCATAATAAATAGAGATATAACTCCACATGCACAAGCTCAATGTAGCTGGAATACACAAAAAGGAACCCCGGAAAACATAATGACTAATTTACTAACAAGTGTCTAAGATACATTATTTATGTGTGTCCACAAGTTTTCAAGACAAAAAGTGATCATGAAATTTCAGGAGATAAAATCAGTAAACAAATTCTAACAATGAGAAGTTACATCAATTCTTGAGAGTTCCATTGACATTTGTTGATCCATTACCAGTGAAACAGCCTCACAGCAATGTCAAAGATTTTATGAGGAAAAAAAAAAAAGACAGGTGAAGTTAGTTGAGTTCAATAATTTGTCAGTTTCATAATGATGCAGATTTGTGCATTACGTTATCAATGTACAGCTGAAAAGCATTTCCACAGTCCTATTTGTTAGATTAACATTGAATTGAAGTCACTGACTATTTGATAGAAAATCTTTTGTTCAAGAATCCAACACTTTAACCGCTTTCGCATATTGTCAATTAGCCATTAATAAACAACTGCTATAATTGGATCATCTCCTAACCAGTAAATGTCAAGATGTCAATCAGGGAGGTGGAATATCAATTTTAACAGAGTCAAGACTTTCTTTTGTGAGAAATTGAAGAATTCTCTTGATTCCTCATTGAAGATGCAAATGTCTTGATCTGATATTCAAAAGTGGTTAGCAACCTATGTTGTGACTGAGCCAAACATATTAATCCTTAAATAAAAGAAAGTGAATAGAAGATTGGCAAGATCACCAGAAAGTATAGAAGTCAATGGCTAATGAGAACTTACTACAGTGGGTCAAATTACATTCTTGAGGATTTCTTAAGTTGAAGAACCCTATAGGAGGAAGGTTAACTTTAATAAAAGTAAGCGTATCAAATATCCTGCTCTATTACATGTTGCTGTTCAGAATGCCAGTGACCATTGTACAAGGAATTGAATGCCCAATACGGGATTTCCCGTGCTCAGGAGAGGGAGGGTCTCACAAATTCCATCTTGCCAATTGGGAAGCTGTGAAAGATAATATAGAGAATATGAACTCAGCTCTGCTGGGGAAGTGATGGTGAGGCTTTAACCCTCAGGAGTACATGTTATGGGGATAAATAATGTACCAAAAATATGGAGTCGCTGATTTGGGGTGTCGGTACAAGGTTCACCAACTTCCCAAGGGTTATTGGAGATGAATTTCATCATCCTACCTGAGCTCTGCTAGTTGAATCAGACTGGGTGAAAGAAGGGTTGCAGTTAAGAATGCAGAAGGATAGATGGTTGGATGACACTTCGTTAACTACTCCATTCCCTAGCCCTTTGTGTTACTGATGGATCAGGAGGCCACTGACCGAGGATCATACAAAATCATTAGTGGTCACCTGATAAGGTCTCTGAGCTTTGGGCCAAAGGAGAGAGATCAGAGGTAGAAATACCACCATCCCTTTTCCATACCCAATTCATACGAAAGCATGGTCAAGATAAAATTGTGTGGGAACCAGCCCCTTGGGTGCCTCCTCAGGGTCCGCTTTTTACAACGAACGACATGCTAGCAGCAAATCAGTAACAATTTCCAGTAAGGTGTGGACGGTCCTGGTTCTATCGAAAATCCAGGTGTTGACCTGGCTAGTCATTTGCAAACAAGTCCTAATTCTTGATAACATTCAGCGAAATGAAAAAAAGGAACTGATGGCGTCCCCTTGCTCTTTCGCGCAACTCTTCTCCAGCCACCCCCCCACCCTTTCTTCCCCACCTACTACCCTTTCCTCCTCCCTCCCCTCAGCTTCCCCTTGGCCTCCCCCCGCGTCGCCTCTCTTTGGGTCCTCGGTTATTTTTGTCCAGGATTCAGCCCCCCCCTCTCACATGGCCTTTCTTAACTCCCTTGTTGGCTATTTCTCTCCCCCCCGTTCTGACCTTCCCGCCATTGAGAAATGGGCTCAAACGTCTTGGAATGACCCTAACATTGGCTGCTACTCCCTTCAGCATGGAGGCATCCTTTCTTCCTTCCCTTCTAGGGAAGGGTCGGAGATGGCCTCGTGCTCTCCCCCTTTGGCCTTCAAAGGTGCTACCCTCTAGCGTGGGAGCCTTTCTCCCTCACCGTATTTGGCTTCAGGCTTTCAACAAACCCCTCCATGCGTGCAACCTGAGAACTTACAAGGCTATTGGTGAAGCAGTTGGGGGCTTCATCTGCATTCATTGGAAATCTTCGGAATTCCTCCCCTTTGGGTTGATACAGCTGCTCTTCGATTCTCTTTCGCCGGAGCTTATCCCTGAGGCGAGTTGGCCTGAGATGAATGGCCAGTACTTCCGGGTTAGCTTGGCCTGGATCCCGGCTTCGCCGTCTTCCAAACTCCATTGCCAGGCTACCCATCCCTTGCCATGCCCCCGAGACTCTGGTTTCCTTTCTCCGGATGGTTGGACTCTGGTTCGCAGTCGAAAGAGGCATTGGAGAGGTTGTCCCGGCATTTCTGGCTGCCAGCGTCCTCCTTTTCGGCAAAACTCTGGCAAGTATGTGGCTGTTGTCTCTCTCAGTCGCCATACGCCTCGCGCCGAAGCCCTACTGCTGTTCCGCCGTCGTTGCTGCCAACCTCTTCCCTTGACCATCCCCCATTGGTTGAGAGGGTGCCCTCTTCGGTCTTGAACCCCTCCTTGCCCTGCAGGTTGGTTCTTTTTTATGCAAGTTCCCTGCTGGCTCCTCTTCTTCCTACCACGTGCCGCTATTGTGGCCTCCTCTGGGCCTTTACCTTTTGTTTTCTCTTTTTCCCTTGTTGTTTCTTCTCTTCTGCCCTCTCTTTTGCCCCCCCCCCCCCTCAACCCTGTCTTTTGCTGCCTTTCTCTCGTCACTTGCCCCATCCTAATCCCCCTTCTGTGGAAGCCTCCCCTGGCGACACGTCTACTCTGGTGTTGTTGACACTTGGCTGGTGCCACCACGTATCTTAGTTTATGCTCACCTTTGCTGCCGCCACTTGGCGCCAATCCCATCTTCCCTTTTGTTTCTCAGCCACTTGGCACTCACCCTTCTTCCTTTTCCTCCTCTCCCTTGATGTCGCCTTCTGGAGTCTCATCCTCCACACCGTGATCTTGTCCCATCCCTTCGTCTGTTCAGCCTCGTTCGCCATCAGCTCTTCCGAGTTCCCTCCCCTATTCGTCGCGAGGCTCTGCCCGTCGCCTCTCGCCTGCTTCATCGCTGCCCTTTCTTTGTGCGAGGCCTCCCCTCCCTCGTCGACCCTCGTTCACCCACGATCCCCCCTCGATCGCAGCAAGGCTCAAGCCCCCTCGCTAGTCAGTCTGTCCGCGAACACCTCTCATCCCCCCACTTTGGCTCTTGCCTCCCTCCCCCCCCTCTTGGTGCCCCGCCTAGGTCTCAGCCTCCCTTCTTCTCCTCTGTTTTAGCCTGGCCACCCACCTCTTTTGCCTCTCCCCTTGCCTCTCCCCTTGCCTCTCGTGCCTCTTGCCGGAGGGCTAATCTCTACCTCTCTCTGTCCACTGGGGTCTCCCTTTCCTCTTGCCCCTGGTAATTGCCCCTTTTCCCCTTCCCTGGCCTGTTCTGGTGGGGAGCCCCTTGGTACCCTCGTCCGTCCCTCTGAAGATTCTGATTCCACCAAAGCTTTTGACGTTGCCCTGGGCGACACCCTCAAGGTAATCAAGGTGATGGGTATGGATTTTCCTGGCCATCGAGAGGCCCTCATCAATTTCACTTTCTTCCGAGCGAACCTTAGATCCAAGGGCCGGAGAGAAATGGTTGATTTCATCGGCCACATCAACGCTGATCGTGATGGGCCATTCGCTGACCCCCCGAATGCCGATTTGCCTTCCTCGAGTGGTCGCCCCATCACTCGTCGTACAGGGAAACGTTCTGCCCCCTCTCTCTCCCTTCCATGAAGATTTTAACCTGAAACATCAGGGGCCTCGGTGACCCTTTGAAATGCCGGCATATTCTCAACTTCTGTCAGCAATACTTGCCTGCGATCCTGGCTTGGCTAGAGACCAAACTGCCTGCTCCCTCGCTCCAAGAGGTGTATCAAACTTGGGGTCGGCGTCGATGTCCCTGCCAATGGCTGGCTCTACCATCTAATGGTGCATCCGGAGGTATATGGGTCATCTGGGACCCTTCTCTTCATTCTCTCTCATCCTTTCTTATTGGGGAGTTCTTGGTCTCAATCTCCCTTCTTAGGACATTGGATGGTTTGCCCTGGAAATTTTCTGCCGTGGATGGCCCCAACTCCCAAGTTCAAAGAGATAGTTTCTGGTCTGAACTCCAATCCATTGCCTCAGCTTCCCCCTCGACTTGGAGTATTGGGGGAGATTTCAACATTACTTGGTGGTCCTTTGAATAGAACTCTAATTCAAGGATTCCCCCACGATGATGGCGTTCTCTGACTTCATTAACAGCAATCAACTGCTTGATGTACCCCTTCAACGGGTTCGCTTCACCTGGTCGAACCACTCGGAAGACCCCTCTTTGTCTAAGCTTGGCTGGTACCTCCTTTCTCTTGAGTGGGACTCATCTTTCCCCAACTCCCACTCTGTAGCCCTCCCCATGCCTATCTCCAATCACCGGCCTATCCTTCTCAACACTACTGCTCTGGGTCGATGTCCCAAGCCCTTCCGTTTTGAGCTATCATGGTTGGAGAAGCCCCATCTCCCCTCCCTCGTTGCCTCGTGGTGGCTCTCTTTCTACCCTATCGTTCATGGTTGGCCTGGCTTTCGCCTTCAGCGTATGCTACATCTTTTAAAACTCGCCCTTAATGATTGGTGCAGAAACCTTTCGGGGAATTTCTTGGCCCAAAAGCAGCCTTTTCTCGACACTATTCTCCACCTTGATTCTCTCAAGGAATCTGCACCCCTTTCTCTTGCTAACCAAATTGAGCGCCGCGAAGCCAAGTTAGCTCTCCATTCCATTCTTCATAAGGAAGAAATCTTTTGTGGCAGCGCTCCAAGGTCGAGTGGTTAAAACTGGGCGATAATAACACCACTTTCTACCTT